CACCTGGGTTTAATAGTAGTTGTTATTTCAGTCTCTCAGTTGTGTCCAACTCTGCGACCCCATGGAGTGCAGCCCCCCAGGCTCTTCTGCCCATAGGCTTCTCCAGGCAAGAATATGGGAGTGGGTTGCCATGTCCTCCTCCAGATGGTGACCAAATATTCTCCCCTCAATATCTAAACATCTGGCTATGAGTTGCTGTGGGTGGCAGTGTGGGCTCCATACGTTGTGAGGTCACCTCTCAGCTACTCAGCTCAGTCCTCACAGGAGAAGAAAGCAACTGCCCTCCTGGTCAAGCCACTGGTTTGTGACATTTTTAAGTAACCATGTGCTCTCCTAATCTATATAGAAAGGAGAGCAATGCATACAGTATCGCCCCAAAGATGCCCACCCCTGAATGATCTAAAGGTTCTCTAAAAATCAAACCTAAGTGAATGCAAGTGTCATTTTTACTCTTATTGTTTTAACCAGGAGGAGAGGGAGTTAATTTCCAGTTGATCAAAGCATCACCTTGTGAAAAAGATGTGAAAGTGTGTAGAGAGCGTGTGTGCTGGGCTTGAGTTTGGGGTACACAGAAAGATGGCAAATAAATTTTGCATATTTTATTATTTAGCCTCGGGCAAGTTCTATAAATTGATAGCATTTTTCTGTTCAGTAAACTGAACTGTCATGATAAGCAGAGTGTTACAGAGACTTTTTTTATATGCACTGACTGAAACATTCTGGAAATTATTTAAATAATTTAAATCCAAATGTGTTTTCACCAATGCTTTCTGCTCAGTCTTATATAACCACCTGTTCAGGTCTCCACCTGAGCATGCCCCCATGTGTGTGCAAGTGGGGAAGGGCCTTGTTTTCATCTTGTCAACCTTGTGACAAATAAATCATTCTGAGAGAAGTAGTATTTCCATAGGCAGCAGCATGCATCTGCTCCCCTGGTTTGGGTTCTAAAGATGAAATTTAATCAACAGGAAGTAGTGCTGTTGTCAGCATAATTAACAAGAGTAGTTTCAGCTAACTCTGAAGGGTTAGATTTAATTGCAGAAGGGCAGACCTTCAAGCAGAGGCCAGGTCTGAGACCTGGGACATGTAGGTGGCACTCTGGGGGCACTTGGGAATGTTCACTCCTCTCCCACTACTCATGGCCTGGGACGACAGACTGGCACTGTTCCTTGGGTCACATCTGTAATAATTGTAGAAACAGGTTTTCTGAGGCCCGGACTTTTCCATGTTGTGTAGCTCATCTCTGAACTGGTTATGGGGATTCCAAGTTGATCAGGAATGAGGGGGGGGTCACACTTACACACTGTGATTCTGTAAACATCAAAGTTAATTTTTCCTTATCCACCCAGGCTTCTTATGTTTTGCTTTTCTCATCTCTATATTTTAAATTATGAGGTTTTTTAAGAATCATACTTTAAGGAATTAATTTTAACAAAGGCTTTATTTTTTTCCTTATAAGACATACTAATAATGCAATGTCTGAAAAAAGCTCACTGAAATGGGGGAGGGGAAAAGGTGTTGACACTAATCATTTTGAAAATGGGCATAGCTTATAATATTAAAGGCAAAATAAATTGTACTCTAGGTGATGAAGTTGTTCCCCACAGGGATATGTGTTAACAGCTCCTGTGTGACTGTTCCTATACAACCAGGCAGGTGAATGGTCAGTCCCTGGTGAGTGGGGATCTACAGGAAGACAAGGGAAGAGATTAGGATGGTCCTTGTGTTCATGCATTAGAGGCAGGAACATCATTGAGAGGTCATATGTGACTTAACAAAGATACAGATGGTTGCCCATGGAAACCTTTATAAACACCTGTCCGCTAACCTGGGTTATCGTATGCACATGTGTTCCCTGCTCTGTCAGCTGAGAGGGCCTGAGTAAATGATAAATAAATAGGTGGGGAGAATAGATGCACTCACTGTGCAGAGTAATTCCAAGTGATTCATGTGGATTCTCTGCTCTTAGGATAGCCTGGGCTGTTGAGAGTGACTGGGCTCCAGAGTGCAGTGTGGAACACAGGACAAAAAAAGATAAGTCAGTAACATTTATCTTTTTCTGACCTCCTTGAGGTACAGTTAACAAATAAAAATATAAGATACTTAAAATGTACATTGTGATGATTTGATGTATTCACAAATAAATACATTGTGAAAGAAAAAAAAAAGAAGAAGAACTGACAACAAGGAGATCTGACCAATATCTGTCATCCAGACCCTCAGTCAGCCTCAGCAGCGTGTGGACGTGTGGATGGGGTGATTCTCTGATGTGAGATGGTCAAGTGGCACTTATCTCTGGGCATCCTCTCCAAAACCCACGACCCCACCGCCATCACCAAACAAACATCAGAGTAATCCCAATGGAATAACATGCTACAAATTACCTGTAATCCTCAAGACTGTCCAAGTCATTAAAAAAAGGAAAGTCTGAGAAATGGTCACAGGCCGGTGGAGTATAAGGAGACGGGGTAATTAAACCTCATGTGTCATCTGGGATGGGATACTGGAAACTGTAGAGGATGACAGGGAAACCAAGAGCATCTGAAAGAAGTAGGGGCTGATTAACAATAATGCAACAGCATTGGTTCATTAATTGTAACAGTGTTACATGACATGTGCCATACTAATGCAGGCGTCCATAAACATGCTGACACAAGGGTATGCAGGAAGCCTCTGTGCTATTTCTACAGTATCTCTGTAAATCTAAAACCATTCTAATATAACAGTTTATACAGAAAACGTTCTCAGAAATTTTTTAACACATAAATTTGTATGATTTTTGCTCCAGTTTGTATGCTTATAATCACTGAAAATTGTTTTATGATAGCTATGGAATTTATGCCATGGATGCTGAAGCTGAAGCTCCAATACTTTGGCCACCTGATGCAAAGAGCCAACTCACTGAAAAAAACCCTGATACTGGGAAAGATTGAAGGCAGGAGAAGTGGGCAACAGAGGATGAGATGGTTGGATGGCATCACTGACCCAGTGGACATGAATTTGAGCAAACTCTGGGATATGATGAAGGACAGGGAAGCCTGGTGTGCTGCAGTCCATGGGGTCATAGAGAATTGGACACAACTTAGTAACCAGAAAACAACAATATGAAATTTATGTTAACTAGTAATTGTTTTGAATATCATACTAATTTTTTATTAAAAAATACTTGATATTATTGCCAGATATTTTCATTAAGGCTAATGGAAAATTAAGGGAAAAAAGGAAGATGTGTTAAAATGGTTGAGAAAGTGTTAAGAAGGCACAGATATACTCCTTGCTGAACTATGAGTTTAAGTTTAGATAGTTTAACCAAAACGCCCTCATGCCTATTTCTCTGGCTGCATTTAGAAGCAGGAAATTTGTTCTAGAGACACTGTGTTTTTATATAATCAATAAATACTGAAATGCTCCTACTTTTAAAGATAAGAAACAACTATATATCAGAGATGGCAATAAGTAGATATTTGCAGCTCTTTCAAATACAATCTTGAAAAGCAATTTTGAAAAATAATAATTAAATTAATGACAAAATTTTCATGGACAAAATATGTAATTCATGTCATCAAGTTATAATTTCATCAAATTGCCCTTTTATTTGCTAACAATTTAGTCTTACCTAACTTTACTAATATCAACTTCCTTATGCTTTCCAGTCAAACCAAACCAGGCTCACAATCCACAAGACTTATATTTATGGAAAATAATATATTATGTGGCATGTTCAATTCTACTGAAAATGGGCCATCTCTTTTCTTTCAAAGGCAACAGTGATAACCCAGTGGCAACGTACTCTGTTCCACTCACACATACTTATCAAGTGCTCATCAATCTCACACAACAGAAAATGACAAAGAGGACTAGAGAGTTTACTGTTGCAAAGGTGGAGAGGAGCAGTAATTTGAATTGTATCAAGTCTTCTGTTTTGGAACACACCATGTATTTTACTTTGAAATCTCATTTACCTAAAAGGTTATATTTTAACTCCACATTTTTTATACTGACAGGGTGTCAATTTTCTATGATGACTCTTAGTTTTAAGTTTATCACATACTTAAAGGAAAACTGTCTAAAGTATTTAAAATGAAACAAGGCAGGATTTCTGAGTATTTAAGTCTATGCCTATCTTTTAGATATTACAGTGACCACTAGAAGTATCTGTACTGGATATTTCATACATCAATTTATCTTATTATTTCTCTGATAAATAACTTGCTTCCTTACTTCACACTGTGAATCAAATGTTAAGTTCCAGAGACAATTATTCATGCATGTAGCTTCTTAACTGAAAAGAGAAAGACTTGTCAACCTTTTTTTCAAGAGATAACCACATTATAGACAACTTGTAATTGTTCCTGTTGAAGTTTCCTCCCCAGAAGACCTTGGTTAAATTCCTGGGTCAGGAAGATCCACTGGAGAATGGATAGGCTACCCACTCCAGTATTTCTGGGTTTCCCTGGTGGCTCAGCTGGTAAAGAATCTGTCTGCAGTGCCGGAGACCTGGGTTCTATTCCTGGGTTGGGAAGATCCCCTGGAGAAGAGAAAGGCTACCCACTCTAGTATTCTGGCCTAGAGAAGAGAATTCCATGGACTGTATAGTCCATGGGGTCACAAAGAGTCAGACATGACTGAGAGACTTTCACTTCACTTCACTTCCCCAGTTGCAAAGTACGGTTCAGAGTGGATGGTGGGGATGAGCCCCCTGGAGAGAGGGACTCATGCTGCCCTGGATCCCATCCGGGTGCTGAGCGGAGGGAGAGGGACCTGGACGTGTGCATCCTCGCCCCGCCATGGCAGGGGGTTCACACTTCACAGGAGCCAGACGGCCCATTGCCTCCTCCTGTCTCATCCTTCCGTCCTCACAGGGGTTGTGGACACAGGTTCCCCCACAGGACCCGATGCCTCCTCTCTCGTACTGGTTGCAGTCTCCTCTGACACTCGGTGCTGTGCTTGACGGCCTCTCTCTGTCTTTTTCAGACGACATCCTGTGGGTGCCGTAGCACATGGATTTCCGGACTGCCTGTGAGGAGGTAAGTCCCACGCCTTTCTGCTTTTTGATTAGGGAGCTGGGGGTGGGCACTGGCCCTCCTTCGTGTCCATGGTGCCTGGCCTGCAGCAGAGGGGTGGGTGAGGGCCCTCATTGGGTCCAGAGCACAACCTGTCTCTGAGAGACTGGAAGACATGGAGGGTCTGTGAAGCCTTGGACTTCTTCCTGCAAGAAGGGAGCATGTTTCCTTGGATTGAGCTGTCCTCCTCCCTAAACTGTGCGCTGAAGGCTTCAGAAGTGGAAGCCTTTAAACTAATTCTTTTCACATAAATGGTTAGATTCCACTATTCTTTCACTATTTCAGTGATGTTTAACTATTAATATTGGTGATTCTGACTCTGTGGAGCTGCCATCATGTTCTGTGTGAGCTAAAGTGATGCATTGCTCTGTCAAGGGTGTTAAAGGCTGCTCAAGTGTGCAGTCAACAGTGCGTGAACTTGGGCCCTCAGAGACGAATGACTCTATTTTAGGAAGAAAGATTATCTTTTCATGTGACATTCAAGGCATTGTCTTTGCGCTCTTCAGGCAAAAGGCGAATATTCATATGTTGAAATATGTCATATTTGCTAATGTATAAATAACCAAAGAAAACACCTTTCAGTTCATACTTTTTTTAAAAGGTAAATTATTGTTTTATTTTTAATTAATTAGTTTATTTTAATTGGAAGATAATTATTTTACAATACTGTGGTGTTTTTTGCCATACATCAACATGAATCAGTGACAGGTGCACATGTGTCCCCTGTGCTTTTTTTTTTCTTCATACGTTTTTTAAAAAGGTAAATTATTGTTCTAGAAGCTTAAACTTAGATGCATAAATTTTAATCCTGTGTCATTTTTAGTTGTAAATGTAGTACATGGTATCATACACCATGGGTTTTCCAGGTAGTTCAGTGGTAAAAAAAAAATCCACCTGCCAAACAGGAGACTCATGTTCAATCCCTGAGTTGGGAAGACCCCCTAGAGGAGAGCATGGCAGCCCACTCCAGTATTCTTGCCTGGAGAATCCCATGGGCAGAGGAGCCTGGAGGGCTATAGACCATGGAGTCGCAAAGAGTAGGATCTGACTTAGCAAGTAACTGAACAAGGTATTCTTAATTTTGAATGAGCATAGTAAACCTACCATTTCCATTGAAGTGTTGCCTTAGTTCTGGGCAGTGAAGCCCTCATCAGTCTCAACACGTGTTGTGTGAATGAGGCAGCCATGAAATACCTCAGAGACTCCCGTGGTAGAGACTGGACAGCGGGCAGTGTTTCTAATGCACAGCTCACTTGGACTTGAGCTGACAAAATATTGATTCCTGGATGGGTTCTTAGACAGAAAGTTTTGATTCACTGATTTGAAGCAGATATCAAACCCCCTTATGTTTCAGCTGTATGTTACACCAGTGATACCTTCGAGGTTCTCGCTCCCTTGCTTCTGTAGTCAACTTTCCTGCTCTTTGGCGCGGATCCCTTGAGGGTGCTGCCATTCTGACACCCCCAGAGTGGAGCAGCTTCTTAGAGCTGTCAGAGCAGTTTCCATGTGTCTCCCACCTACTGGCTGGGCCGGAAGGGCTACTGGACGATATGATGCTCTGAAGATGAGCAAATCACCTCAAAGATGGGCCGAAATCAGAGCTTGCCAGAAATCCCGTCTTAGAACTTTTCCATGGACTGACACGTAAAGACACTCTAGCCTGTCTCTCACTCTGCAGAGAAGCAGATTGAGAGATTTTATGAAATGCTGAAAAATGCAACAAAAGACCCGGGCACTGGGAAAGATTGAAGGCAAAAGGAGAAGAGGACAGCAGAGAATGAGATTGTTAGCTAGCATCACTGACACAATGGACATGAACTTGAGCAAACTCTGGAACATAGTGAAGGACAGGAAGCCTGGCATGCTGCTGTTCATAGGGACACAAAGAGTCGGACATGACTGAGTGACTGAACAGCAACATGAAACGCTGAGCTCCATTTAATGGATTCAGCAAAAGCAAAACCATAATGTGCCACTTGGAAAGTCTAAGTTTTGTCCTTTTTCTAAAGTCCTGCATCACTGAAAATTATATCAAAATAAAGTAAACTTATTTTCTCTTGACTGCCAATAAACTACTAACAATGAAATTTTGATATTCATGTCCATAAAGAGATTTACTTAGAATGTTGCCCCACAAATGCCATGATATCTCTTCTTTGTGAAGAAATAGAAATATGGCTAGATAAGTTTCATGTAGACATCTTAATTATCTAATACAGACTGTTTTTGAGAAGGAGGGTTATTTATTGTTTAAAAAACTTCTTCTCTTAAGAAGAAAAAGTTGTAATTATTTTTAAGGAATTGGCATTCAGTAATCTGAAAAGAAGCAAAAATTGAGAGAGAATACAATAAGGACAAATGCAAACCCACAATGCAGAAGAAGCAGTGTATGCACAGCCAGGTGTGATTACTACTTCTTTGCCTTAAAAGTGTCATCAAAAGGTGCGGTAGTAGGTCCACATTCCCTTTTCAGTCCAGGCTCTCCTCATGGTTCACCTTCACATCCGTCCTCCTTAAGATGTCATAGGTGTTGATGTGAAAATACATGCTCCTTTATAACATACACTTACTAATTTAATAATTTCTGCCTATATGTAATTTGATTAGTCTCTCAGATAATAAAATATAATATGTGACTGATTCAATCAATAAATATTGAAAGAAACTCTACTATGAGTAAAACACTGTACTAGGTCTATAGATTAATAATCCTTAAAAGTGAAAACAGTAATAACTTGCTAAGATTTTCTAGAGATAATAGTATATATAGTGAAGTCAAATGATGTGACATGGAGCTAAATGTTATGGTGTCACTACATGTGACACCTAAATACAACACTGACTGACTTTTAGGTGAATGTTCTTACCTGACGAAGGCTCTGAGCTCCAAGAAGTAAGGACTTGCCTTTGGATTGGATCACAGCCTTGTCTAACTCAATGAAACTATGAGCCATGCTGTATAGGGCCACCCAAGATGGAGGGGTCATAGTGGAGATTTCTGACAAAATGTGGTCCACTGGAGAAGGGAATGGCAAACCACCTCAATATTTTCGCCTTGAGAACCCCATGAACAGTATGAAAAAGCAAAAAGATAGGACATTGAAAGACGAACTCCCCTGCTTGGTAGATGCCAAATATGCTGCTAGAGATGAGTGGAGAAACAACTCCAGAAAGAATGAAGAGATGGAGCCAAAGCAAAAACAATGCCCAGTTGTGGATGTGACTGGTCTTGGAAGTACAGTCCGATGCTGTACTGAACAATATTGCATAGGAACCTGGAATGTTAGGTCCATGAGTCAAAGTAAATTGGAGGTGGTCAAACAGGAGATGGCAAGAGTGAGCATCAATATTTTAGGAATCGGTGAACTATAATGGACTGGAATGGGTGAATTTAACTCAGGTGACCATTATGTCTCCTACTGTGGGCAAGAATCCCTTAGAAGAAATGGAGTAGCCCTCATAGTCAACAAAGGCCTTTGGATGGAAGGGCCTCTGAAGGCTTCAAGGAGCTGCACTTCTTGTATAAGAGCTTGAAAGGTGGCTGGAAGTTAGCAGAGGAGGAGGCTGGGTCAGACACACTGCAGCAAGGAAGGGAGGGGATGAAATGAGGCTAGAAGCATCTTGTGTGGGCGACACTTGGTACGATCAGTTCTGCTACCACAGACAGAGCCACGCAAGGGGTCACATATCACTCACAACTGCAGGCTTAAGAAACAGATAACTTACACTCAGCAACCAAAACAAAGAAATAGGAAGACTGAAAGACTACTGGCCGTGCATGTGGTGGTCTCCACCTGGCTTTGTGCAGTTTCTTCTGTCATCTTGCAGATACTACCTTTCAGGGTGAAAGGAATATAGATATTAAAGTTTAATGAAAACACAATTTGTGTTCTTTCAGGACCTAGAACCTAGACTTAAGAGGTTTTCTATTTCATGTAGGAAGTCAGTGACAGTCTACTTTTTGAATTTCCAAAAGTACTTGATTTATGCTAAGCACACATTCTTAATAAGTTTACCTGTGAGGTGTGTTTTTAGAACAAAGAGTAAATCAATGTAAATTCATGAACACACTTCATTAATTCACAGAAAAGAAATCAATGACCAGATGCTTAAAAGCATTGCCTTTTGAGTAACGAAGAGGCATTGCTTTTTAGTATTCCTCTAAGGAAACAGACATCAGTGTGGGGTTTGCAAAGTCCAGTGCAAGGTAGGATCGTCCATCAGGGACAGGAAAATGGCCTTTGAGGGCATGTCGTTTTTCAGATTTTATAATCACACACTGTGCTTGTAGGTTATATATAGCACATGCATGTCCTCATGCAGGTGTGATGTAACCACAGGGTAAAAAGGTTGAAGACAAACAACTCTTATGTTAATAAAGGAAAAGTAGATGGTTGCAGATCCTGAGTTTATGCTAAAATGTGGGACTGGTCATTATTTGGGTGAGTTTTTATTCTTGAACAACCTGGGTCCCCAAACCTGTAAAGGCTTTGCAGCCAGGGCTGATTTAGTTCATGCTGAGCAGGCAGCACTCTCAGGTGCTGTTTCCCCATTCTCGACCCCCAACACTGCGTGGGGGACAAGGGCATGTGGATCCAGCCCTCCCACCCCATATCGGCTCATGTCTTTAGCTCCCTCTGCAGCCCAGCTTGGCAGGAAGTGCATCCATCAGGCCCAGAGTGGCTTCTGCAGCCACTTGCCATCACTCTGATCCAAGAAGCACCACTATTCAAGACTGAGTTCTTTCTAGGGCTTTGGTGAAAGACATTGATAGCCCTGTCATTGAGTACAGGAAGATGGGGAGGTATCTTTACAGAAATCTCTGCCGGAGGACACTAGGCCGGGAGTCGGAGGCCCCGGTTCAGACTCCACCTCCTGCCTGTCTCCACACCTCTGCTTTTGTCCCATCTGCCAGAACCACTGGGGGACCAAAGTCAAGTGAATAAATGAATACATCTGGGCACACAGTCAGCTTTATATAGTGAATGAACTGTGTGCCCGCCTTCCACAGTGATGATGCCAATCCAGCAGGCTGCTCTGAGCCAGGAGAGTGTCTGAAATGGATATTACCCATCTTCTTGCAGCTATTGAAGCAGCTCTGGGCCTGACCCATCTGTTCGGCCCCCAGAGTCTCCTGCCCAAGGTCTATGTTTCTGCCAGCAGTAACTGTGTTCTCACTTTCCCAGTCCCCATCCACCTTCTCCTCTGGTCTAAGAAGTAGACTTATAAGACCCTACTCTAAGTGTATTGTGCAGTGCCAACCTGCAGGGAACATGGTACAGGGACCTTGACACACCTCCTGAAACTTCTTCTGGTTTGGCCCCTGTCAAACTCCATGAGCTCCACCTGTCAAACTCCATGGGCTCCACATCAGGGCTGTGTTCTTCATCACATGGACTCTGCATTCTCATGCTCCTATATTTTTACTCAAATTTCCCCCTTTTGGATAAAATAACTTTTGCCTTCTCTACTTACTGTTTTCTCAACTTATTTTTTCAAGACAAGCCACCTCTTTCTGTCCACAAAGCCTTCTCTCCCACGCCTTCACTCATGAATAGCTAATTCATTCCTCTACATTTCTCCCATATAAGTGCTGAAACATCATATTGCACCTTATTTGTATATTTGGATGAGTAGGAATATTATAAGCCCAGAGATTATCATCTAATTGGTGTCTGACTCTTTGTTAGTTACATTGTATTTGAAAAACAAATGCATCTGTGGGATTTTTAAAGTAATTTCATGTCCATGAGCTGTATTTTCATATAGAGTATATGTAACATTTATATGGAAATACATATTTTAATGTTAATTTATTGTTAGCTTCATTATCTCTCAGTTTGTCATTTTCTCCAAATAGAAATTTATTGGTATATATATTTATGGCATATATATTACATTCTAATAGAAGCTGCCTCATTCTTTATCTCCCGTCACTCTTGTGCTCTGAGGAGCCCAGCATGGTTCTAGGTTCGCATTCTGCTTTCTGGACAACTGTCCAGTAATTAGGGGCCATTGCACATATTGTTTGAGTGGATGGAAATGTGACCACATCAGAAATGTGATGAGAGAAACCTCCGAGCTGTGCTTTAGTTCCTTAAGCTTTCCCTGGATGATCTTCAATCTCTCTTTGATGTGAGACAATAATGTGTTTATAGGGTCTTAGAGAAAAGCCCCTTTCCTCCTCGAATTGAGGCAGAGCTTTATCTGTGAGTGCCAGCTAGTCCGTGATTCTGCTAGGGGAATGGTGTGGAATGTTCTGTCCATTGAAAAACCATCAAACACACCCAATTAAATTCCCCGGGCTTTGATGTCATCTCCTCCCTTTTTCTCCCGAGCATTTCAGGCAGTCTGATATCCGCCCCTGGCCAAGATCACATTGTAAGCATGAGAGAATTTGCCTTGTGAAAAATATAGAAAACTTGTGTTCTGTATTAAAGAAAATAAATTTTGCTTTTGGTGAAATATCAATACTTTTGTCTTCTAGACATACACACTCGAGTTGAGATCTGGGGGGATTAATGGTTATGATTTATGGGGGCCCAGCTGTGTGTGGTCTCAGAGGAGACAGTAGGACCATCACAGTTCCTGGAAAAAATTGCTTTTCCTTAAAAGACATTATAACATTTACAGAATAATTATAGGCCAATCTAACCACATATAATAAAGGGCGTAATGGTGTGTATCCCACGTGGAATAAAACAGCTTACAGAAAATTCTCCCTAGAAGCCACGATGTCTCAGTATATTCTCGTCAATGTTGTGAAAATCTCTTAAAGAAACAAACCCCTAATAATCCATGTGTAATTTATATTCCAAGAGAAAGTCCAGTATTATTTACCTGGGATTTCTTGCTACTTAACTACTAAGGATAAAAATATATTTCTACATAATTATCCATTTATCCAAATTAAGAATGGCTCAAGGTAGTGCTAGTGGTAAAGTACTCACCTGCCAGTGCAGGAGACATAAGAGATGCAGGTTTGATCCTTGGGTTAGGAAGATCCCTTGGGGAAGGACATCCACTCCAGTATTCTTGCCTGGAGAATCCCATGGACAGAGAAGCCTGGTGGTTTACAGTCCATGGTGTCACAGAGTCGGACATGACTGAAGATGCAGTGGGGGTGGGGTAGCGTGGGGATATGATGTTTTTCTCAGTGTAATGAAAATGGTCAGAACTTGTTTATAATGGTGGCTGTGTATTGCTCCACTAAAAACATCAAATTGAACACTTTAAGGGGTTGAATTTTGTAATATATACTGTGTGAACTGGATTTCAATAAAACCATTACAAAAAAAGTTATGTAGATTGTAAATATTAAATAAATGTTCACTATTTTTCAAATATAGCATATAAACTATAATTCTAACTTTCCAAATCTCTGTGGGGATTTTCTGATATGATCTCTATGAGGCCTACCTGGTATGACAATCTTAGACAAACTTGGACAGTTATTAAAAGCAGAGACATCACTTTGCTAAAAAAGGTCTGTATAGTCAAAGCTATGGTTTTTCCAGTACTCATGTATGGATGTCAAAGTTGGACCATAAAGAAGGCTGAGCACTGAAGAATTGATCCTTTCCAACTGTGGTCCTGGAGAAGACTCTTGAGAGCCCCTTGAACAGCAAGGAGATCAAACCAGTCAATCCTAAAGGAAATAAACCCTGAATATTCATTGGAAGGACTGATGCTGAAGCTGAAGCTCTGATATTTGGGCCACCTGATGCAAAGGCCCAACTCATTGGAAATGACCCTGATGCTGGTCAAGACTGAGGGCAGGAGGAGAAGGGGGCAACAGAGGATGAGATGGTTGGATGGCATCACTGACTCAATGAACATGAAATTGAGCAAACTCTGGGAGATGGTGAAGGACAGGGTAGCCTGGTGTGCTGCAGTCCATGGGGTTGTAAAGAAGAGACACAACTTAGCCACTGAACAGCAGCTTGGTGTGAAATGGTAATACTTTTCTCTGTACCTGTTCTGTTTCAGGCTCATCTGACTACATTTCTTCTAGCTTTCTTGATGTTTTGCTAAAAAGGCCGTACAAATATAATCTATGAACTGAGTATAATTCTTTCTCTGTTTTGCTCTTTTTTGGCCTGAAGACAAAGACGGGGATTTGTTTGCTGCAGGATGGTAACCAGGAGCCCTTCAAAGTGCGGCTGCACCTGGCTAGGGATATCCTGATGATCCAGGAGCAGGACGTGACATGTGTGTCCGGAGAGCCTTTCTATTCCGGTGTAAGTATCTCTTCCCTCTCTGGAAGGTTTCTCATTTTTTCTGTCTTGTGAATAAAAACATCTATTTACAGAAAATACTTAATATTTTTCCTTTACTCTCAGAGCCAGTAATTTTTGTCTACAGTGTAGTAAGCAGCGTCCTTGCATATGGATTCGTACCGGGTCCCAAGGCATACATGGGGGCCCATCTCCAGCCCGGGGTCTTGTTGACGCCGAGTTGTCACTGTGTGGCTGGAGGGACACTTGTGTTTGTGATCATGAGGGAGCGGGTTGTACCTTTCCTCCCCAAGGACTAAGTGAAAACATCACGTGGCAGTTTCCACCCTGAACTCACCTTACATCTCACGGAGCCTTCAGAGGGGGGAGTCTCTGGGGAGCAGGAGGTGGTTCCTGAACACATGTCAAGATTCTCCCCGGGGCTTGTGGGTGGAAGATTCTGTGGACCTCACAGAGTCACGCTGGGTGCTGTGCAGGCTCTGTCTGTGCCCTCAGCAGTGGACACAGGAATCTGCTGCTGGCCACAGCCCCCTGGTCAGCCTCCTCACTGAAGTACAGCTCTGGAGACAGGCTGAGGAGTGTTCAGTTGTGAGGTGTTCAGGCTGAGGGGTGTTCAATTTCACCTGAGTACATTTAAAGATCTTATGAGCTTTATTCAGTGATTCATGAGGCCTTTCCTGGTGGTGCAGTAGTAAAGAATCCACCTGCAGTGCAGGAGATGCAGGTTCAATCCCCAGGTCGGGAAGATCCCCTGGAGTAGGAAATGACAACCCACTCCAGTATTCTTGCCTGGAGAATTTCATGGACAGAGAAGCCTGATGGGCTTGGGGTTGGACAATACTCATCTGGCAATTAGGAGGAGTTCTGTCAGCTAAAGAAAATAGGAGGTTTTCAGGGGGAGAAATGGTCAGGAAAAGTAAACTGTTCCCAAAGAAAGGCTTGTTTCTGTGAAGGTCATCCTCCTGAGGGGAGAGAGGGTCTGTGGGGGAGGCGGATCATTCTAGTGCTGACAGGGGAGTTCCAGGCTGAGTGGTTAAACCAGTGACTGTCCTGGGGAGGCTGGAATTGCAGGATGGTCAATGTCAAGTTCCTGGTGACCTGGGCTTAGCACATGGGATTCCATGTGGGCCTATCAGACCCTTTTCAATAGGTGAAACTAAATTGAATGTGACAGAATACTTTTATCATAAAACTGGATGTTTTAGAGTTTCTCATTCTTGTGTAATAACATCAAAGAGATCATCTTAACAGTGTTGTCATGTGTGATCTCAGGGGAGAGTCACAGCATGTGAGATCCCGGATACCCTGGATGTCTGTAGTGACTCAGCAGGTAGACTTACTGTGTAGCTGATTCACAGGCTTATTTCAGACTGTTTTGTTGGGGTGAATAATGCTGAATTGGAGCTTCCACCTTACTTCTCACCAACATCCTGCAGGGAATCACACTGAGTCCTAAATAGATAATCTCCTGCTAACTAAAGACAATGGATGCTTCGCAGCCTGTTAACTGTTCTTTGTCACAAACGATTTATATCATCCTGAATCATGGGTCTTGATGTCAAGGCTGATTACGCTGTTCCCATAGGGTCACCCTTTCTTTCTTTTAGTTAATAAAAGAGTAATGGCCCATTGCTTTTTTCTTCCTTCTTTCTTTTCCTTTATTTTTTGGCAGAAAAATATATTCATATATACATTACAAATACACATATTTTACATACATCAAAATGGTACATGTATACACATATATTACACACATCAGAATGGTACATAGCAGTTGTCAGGTGGAAACGTGAATGCTTCAGTTAACAGAAAAAGTCACCTTCCTTGTGCTCAGAAGTGGACTATTATGTCCTGTACCTCCTGAATGACCAGCCCCCTCAACCAGAGGAAGCCATGTCCACCCCTGTGAGTACTATCTCCTTCAACGTTGCCCTGAAAGAAAATCAAATTTAACCAAGGTCGGTTTTAAATGTTGGCAATATATTTTTAGAAGGCCAGTGAGACTAAAATCAATATGAGATGGCAGCATATTTCATCTCAGAGACGCCTGTTTCAAAGGGGTTGCCAGTTACAGACAAGAAAATCTTGGAGATTAAATTCTAAGTATGGCAGAACTATCAGATATGCGGCACCAATGTAATTATCACCTCAGTAGAGTTCTAATGAGCATCATTAGGACTTAGAATAAACAAAACTAGGCGACTTCCTTTAGTTTTCCTTTTGGGAGAAAGTGTGCAGTTAGTAATCCCACGTGTGAAACCATCATTTCCTGAAGGCAACATCAGGAGAAATTGATGTCCGGCATTCACTGTGAGAGTCAGTGTTCACTCCATGGGGGATGGGCTGGGATGCAGGATTCAGAGGTGAGGTCCACTGTCTGTAGAATTTGATCAGGAGAGACATGGCAGCTCCCGGGGGTGGATTCTTATCAGCTCATCTGGGGTGAATGGGGTGTGAAGCCTCAGGTTTTCTTCTCTTTTTTCCCATCAAAGAGCCACTGACATACACACTATATATACATATATATATATTTTTCAACTTTTAATGCCAGCAGTTGTTTTGTACTACAGGTAGAGAAATTTGATGTTTAAAAATATGTTTTTCCTCCACTTCCCACTAGAGAAGTAGCCTTGTGGAAGGTTGGGATTTACTTCAGCACCTTGACAAACAGACCTCCATGGAGGTCTCTCCAGGGACAGTCATGGGGCAGCCCTGTGCCTCCTAGCCAGGCTCTTGTGGGGTGCGGGTGCTGAAGCAGCTGGAACTCTTGCCTGGACAAGCAGTAACAAGGAAACCCTCACCTTAAATAAGAGAAGACAATCAACAGCTGCCAACCTTGAAATGTCACAGATGTTATAATTATAACAAGAGCTGGAAGGTAGCCGTCATGAAATGGTTTTACCCTTCTTAAAACAGCATTGACACAAGCGAGAAAAAAAGAAAGTCTCAGCAGAAAGCAAATGGAAAATGCAGAGCTGAAAATTCAGCTGAAATAAGAGCTCAGAGGATGGGTCTGGCAGCAGAGTGGAGAGGACAGAGGAAAGGATCAGTTAACTTGAAGACAGAACAATAAGAATCACCCGCTCTGAAGTTAGGAGAGAAATTGGTCTGAAAAATATAATGGACCCACGAGCTTAAAATGAAAAATCTTATATTTAAGTCCTAAGAGTCCCAGAAAAAGAGAAGGAGATCTGAGCTCAAACAGTGCTTGAAGAAATAGTGGCTGAAAACGCCCTAGATTTTGCCAAAGACATAAACCTATACATTAAAGAAGTGGGACAGATCTCAAAAGGATAAACCCAAGACAGATCTTAGTCAAATCCTAAAAACTAAAGACAAAGAAAAAACTTAAAAGCAGCAAGAAAAAATAATATTGTTCTTTAGCTACAGGGGAAAAGTAATTCAAATGATAGTAGATTTTCCCACCAGAAACAATGGAAACCAGAAGGAAGTGGCACAGTATTTTTCAACTACTGAAGAGAAAGAACCAGCAACCCAGATTTCTATATATGCCTAAGTAACCTTCAAGAATCTGGCAGAAGCTTTCAGCTCATTAATGAAATGGGCAATAAAAATGAGCAAAGGATTTGAACAGAGATTTTTTTCTAACAAGATTTATAAATGGCCAATAAGGAAAAAGAAGTGCTTGACACGATCAGCCATCAAGGAAATGGAAATCAAGACCACAGCAAGGTCCACTTTATATCCAGTAAGATGTTTATCATCAAAAAGACAGAAAAAGAGCAAGTGGTCCTCAACTTGTGGAGAAGCAGAGATCCTCAGACCCTGATGGGAAGGATGTGCAATGTCCGTGGGGTGGAACAGCTGGCAGTTCCCAGTATCACTCCTTTGAGGACACTCAGGAGAAATGAGCTCACATGTCGACACAGAAACATGCCCACGAATGTTCACAGTAGCATGAGTCATAGTAGCACAATCATATAAATACCCCAGAGGTGGAGGAATGGATGCATAGATTGTGGTGTATCTACACAGCAGAATGTTAGCTAGCAGCTTAAAAAGCAAAGTGCTACACATGCTACAATATGGATAAACCTAAAAGCATCACAGTGAGAAGCTAGACACAAAGGACCACATGCTGTATATTTTCATTAATGTGAAATGTCCACAACAGGTAATTCTGTGGAGATATGGTGTAGATTAGCATGCCGAAGATTAGAATGAAGGGATCAGGAGTGACGGGTTCCAGCAAAGACAAATGTTCTTAAATTGATTGTGATGATGGATGCATAACTGAGACAATACTAAAAGCCACTGAATTATGCACTTTCAAGTGGCTGGTGTAAAGGTACATGAATTATAGCTCTTAAGAACTATTTTTAAATGTTTTTTTTATTGTGGTAAAATTCATATACTATAAAAATACTATTTTAACCACATTCAACAGTAAAGTTCGGCAGCACTAAGTACATTCACGTTGTTTTACAACTCTCACTATCATCCGTCTCCTGAACTTTAGGGCTTGCTGTTCTATCCGGCTGATCTGTATGTTTAGTCTTAAAAAAACAAAAACAAAAAAACACTGTGTTGTCTTGATTCCTGCAGTTTTACAATAGGTCTGAGACAGAGATCCCAGATCCTTTGGCTCTGTCCTCTGTTTCAGCATCACATAGCTCTTACAGGTCCTCTCCACACAAACCTGAGAGTGAGCTTCCAATACCCACAGGCAGCTTGCTGGAGTTTTAGGATTTATCGATTCCATAGATCAAGTGGGATGAGTCAGTGTCTTGAAAATGTTGAGTCTTCTGGTCCTCAAATATAAAATATTTCTCTTTACCTTCCACATCTTTGATTTCTTTCCTCAGAGTTTATAGTTTTCCACATAGAAAACTTATCATCATTGTTGTTTAGTTGCTCAGTCATGTCTGACTCTTATGTCCAACTCTTTGAGACCCCGTGGACTGTAGCCCACCAGGCTTTTCTGTCCATAGGATTCTCCAGGCAAGAATACGGGAGTGTGCTGCCATTCCCTTCTCCAGGGG